TTTTTACCATGTTAATTTTAAACCCTACACAATGCGTGGACAATCCTAGTTAGTCTATATTTTGTTACCGTCGAAAAACTTATTAAAAGAAAACGATTGAATTTTGCTCTTCCTCATTTTTCGACTCTCTTTCACCTCAAGATTTCAAGTTTATTAGTCTTGTTACAGTCGAAAAATCTATTTAAAAAACAACAGTGTGTATATTGTGTTCCAACTCCGAAGCTTCATAGCTTAAGTTGTCGAATCAATGACTGAATTTTGCTTCTATTTTTTGTTTTTTGTATGAGACCAATTAGATAGATTAAACACTTTTAATTTTAGTGATTTCTTTTATAGAAAAAAAGAGAGACAAGTTTCCCATACCAAAAGGTCAAAAACACAAAAGTCATTTCAGACATAATGATGTGATGACTTTGTCTATTTTCTCTCAACCATCCAAATTGGCTTTGAGAATTGAGACCCCTATTTGACCTTATATCGCATTCATTCACTATTTAATTCAACTTCACTCATAAAGATTCTCAATTCAATTATTCAACCGTTCGTTCCATTTCTCTACTCGCTTTTGTCTTTTGTACCCATCTCTATCTTCCGACTTATAATTACAGTATTGGCTTTTGTATATACCAAATTATAACATTTTCTCCGTACTAGCATCACATAGAGTTGCAATATATTCCTAAACCATGTCTTGACAAGTCAAGAGATGAGTTTATCTTTCGATTTGACTTATCTCCTAAGAGAACACAAACTATAAGCTACCCACAAATGCTTGCATTTGAACACAATCATTCTGAAAATGAAAAAGAAAGATCAAGAACGTGTGGTCCTCTTGTTTTGTAATATGGGTTGATGACTCACCATATGTATATGAAAAAATAGTCCTTTATTGGTCGATGTAACGTTTTAAATGGGAAGCATGTCCGGTTTCTACATGTTTTGGAGATAATTCCAAGTTTTGATTCGAGAAGATCCCAGTCAGTAAAAAAAAAAAAAATGTAGGTTAATAACTTAATCTTATATATACATAGCACATACTAAGCCCGATTAGCCCGTGGATCTTTCAACCTGTATTTTTCCCGGGCTAAAAAAATAAAATCAGAACCATCTAAATAATCCCAAGTGGACCGGTTAATCCCACAAGCTTTTAGCCTTATATTAACATCTTCTGTGATCAAATCAATCAGGTAAATTTGTCGTGCATGTGTGTCGATGGAGATGAGTGGGACATGGGGAAGATTCCAAAGGCAATCCTGTTAGAAAGTCATCAAAAGGAACAGAACAGAAACATCGACCAATGAGAAGACATTAGTCACACATATGACATATACGCAGATCTAGCTATTCAAGATTAGTATGTCCAAATAATTGAATCTATACAATATTTCAAATTAATCAGCTTACTCTACTTATTCGTCAAACAAATAGAGCTTGGTAAACAAATAATCATGTCAACTGTTGAACAGTTAGTTAAATGTAGAAACTCTTGTTGGAATGAAGCAAACAAAAATAATAAATATAAAATAATTCAGAACCAGAAGCTAGAATCAAAATGAAATGGTGATATTGTGGCTAACATAGACACCCATAAATAAGACTATAAGCAGCTACGGTCAGACAACCTTAAGGAGCATAGTTAGGTGGTTAACCATTTGTCTCATTTCAAATGTTGAGCTTTTCTTCAAACCAAGCCCATGTCTTAGTTTCAAAGGAGAACCCATGATTGGATTTCTTGGGCTTTCTCTTCCTTTGAACTATAATTTCAATCTTCAAGTGTTTAGCATATATTTCTCCTAGGCCTTTCGAAGTCTATGTTGCTTTGTAGTGAAGAAACTGAGAAACAGAGCCTTTGAAAGCACTACAAGTCACACAATCTTTGCTTTATTTTCTCAGTGCATGCTTCTGTTTTTAAGCTTGACTTTACATTACATTAACATGAGGAGAAGTTTCCTTTCTCTCTTTAAAGATTTCCAAACAAGGACAATGAAACAACAAACCAAAAAACGTATTTCCTAGGAAATATTTGATCAATCATAATTACACGAAATGATGATTCCTTGTGCTATTCATAGATCGAAAATGAGTATTTACATGTTTTTCCTTTCTTGCTGGTTTTCCAAGAACTCCAAAAAGGCACACCAACTATACAGTGTTCTTCACTCCGAGGAAGCTCAAAGATGGGATTTTCTGTACAAGTGTTTCCGACACTTGAGAAGCCGAAGGTCTTAGAGATGGTGGGCTACGGAGACAGAGCGCAGCCACACTCAGCATTGTCTTCACCTCATCAATATCAATACAATCTCTTAACAGCCTCGGATCCAAAAACCGTCTCACATAGTCTTCCTTGATGTCCACACTTGAATCGAGAATTTCATGGAGAAGTGGAGCCACTGTATGCACTAACATCTCGCCTCTCTCAGCAGAAACCGCTTCTTTTCCAGAAACCAATTCAAGAACCACAACTCCAAACCCATATATATCCATCTTCTTCGAAGCAATACCGGTTCTCAAGTAGTGAGGGTCTGTGTAACCCGGAGATCCCACCATCATCACTTGTTTGGATCTAGGCGACATCGTAGGAGGCTGAACCATTGAAGAGAACCCGACTTTAGCTGACCCGAAATCGCAAAGCTTACAATTAAAGTCTTTGTCCAAGAGGACATTGGAGGATTTGATGTCTCCGTGCACAATCTGAGGGCTACATTTCTCGTGAATGTGTTCAATGGCTTGAATTAGCTGAAACGCAATGGCGATACGGTTCCTCCATGGCAAGACTTGCTTGCTGTTGCTATTTAGCTTCTCCTGTAAATTCCCTTGAGGAAGATACTCGAGAAGAAGAGCACCATTTTCCTCTGTAACATAAAAGAGAAAGAAACATCGATTTATATCCAAACAGCTTGATCAAACAACAAAAAGATCAAGACTTTCGATTTTAAGACAAGCTTAACCACTAGTGACTATGATCAAAATCTCCATTTTTTGGCAGAATTAAGGCGTGAATACTTCATACGACACAGACAACAACACAAGCTTGATTGATCAAACTCCAAAATTTGCAGAATCTAAGATATGTCTGAGAATTGATGAATTCAGAAGCAGTACCTGAATCGTCGAAGTAGCCGAGAAGTTTAACAATATTGGGATGTTGAAGATGAAGCAAGATCTCGAGCTCGACTTTAAAGATCTGGTAAAGACGGTGGCTGCTAACATGAACCTTGAGAGCTCCCTTGTCGGAACCAGACAAGCGAGCCATGTAGATACTGCTGTAGCCACCAGAGCCAATCAGTTTAGAGAAATTAGAAGTGAGAGCTTCCAAGTCATCCCAACTGTAACAGTTCACACCAGAGACGGTCAAAGATCCTACTTTGGTTCTGGGTTTTTCGGTGACCGTCGAAGAGACATGAAATCGAACGCAATTCAAGAAATAACCCATTGAAAAAACAGAGCAAAGCAGAGAGAGAAGGACAGAGGAATTGTGGGTGAAATAGGAGATGGGTTTGGTTTTAGGGGTTTTGTAAGTGGAGACAAAAGAAGAACAAGGAGATCGGAGAATTAAGGATTTGGGGACAATGGGTTTGTTAGATTTGTAAATAAAGGTTTAGACTTTGCATTGTTGGGAAGCAGAGTTTGACCGATTGCCATTTTTGATGAATGAAACCTTCCTCCGAAGCAGCTCTCCGACGTTCTAACTACTACTACTCTTGTTTTCATCATTTTCTTTATTAGTGTCTTTCTTTTTTGGGGTTAGGCACCACATTAAACACATTTTTTTTTCTTCTCATTTTGGCACATTTGTTATCGGAGAAAAAGAAAAACAGGAGACAATATATAAATATAAAAAGCGATCACGTCACCTTCATATACGTATAAGATCAATTTCAATGATCGGGACCGTATTTAACTTTGTATCTTCCAAAGAGAAAAGAAAAATTAAAAGGTGTGTTGATTGCCATAGGTGTAGCACGGAAGTTTGGTAGAAATTTATTTTTTTATTCTACAATCTGTTTCTGTAGACTCGTTTTCGTGGCATTTAAAAAAAAAAACGAAATGTTATGTAGTTTGAAAAGCATGGTATCGTAAAATAAAGAGAATGCAAATGATTATTTTTCAAAATTCTTTTTTAACACGAAAAGTGGTTTAGCATTTGGGCACACTATTTTTTGTGTTTAATGTGTAAAGACTAAAGAATCTTGTATAGAAACATGGTTTGAATCATATA